AAAAAAAAAAAAAAAAAAAAAAAAAAAAAAAAAAAAAAAAAAACTTCACAAGGACCCGCCAAGGAAAGGCTAAACTTATCAATCTCCTACTTGGAGATCAGAAATAACTGACATAACAATGACTTTATACTGTCATTATTATTGTAGTAACGTATAAACCAAGTTTGTAGTATTTAAAATATCCAAGATTGATTATAGATCAAACAAACGGAAAACGAAACAAGATACAGGGTCAACCCTATCGTCTCATTTTGAACCATTAGGGTTGGTGCAAGGGACCATTTTTGTTTCTCTTTTTTTTTACCTATCGGATAAACAACGGTGAAGCAGAAAATAATGCAGCAGAATAAATTGATCTGATCTGATATGTTTCATACATGCGGAAGATAATTGAAAAAGCACTGCACGAATCTTCCGTTGCCTTAACCATATAAAAACCCCCTTATGTCTCTTGTTTTTATTTTTCCTTGTCAATTGATTCCTACCCTTTCTTTATTTTTAAAGTAAAAACCGAAGCCTTTTAAAACCACTTTCTCTCTCTCTCTTCTATTTATTATCATGAAGCTTTACTTTTCCGTTATCTGCTTGCTTGCCTTGATCTGGGCTGTTGCCTGTGTGCCATTATCGGAACCAGAAACCTCAACAGAGACACAAGACTCAAAATCTCCTCTTTCCTTTTTGAATGGTGCCAAAGCTGAAGAAATGGATGATATGCAAATAGCCAAGATGTATATTGCAGGAGGTGCTCATAAGAACAGTAACTCTGGTGATATCGTTTATCCCAAGAACAATCAGACTTGGCATGTCGGCCAGAAAGCCAAGGTGGTCTTTAGGAAAGCAAACTATGGGGTTAATGAAACTGTTTCTATCTTCTTCTTTGAAAAAACTCCTGTCTTGGCAGGTGGCCCAATCAGTAATCGAGTGTTCACATTCAAGGTTCCAGCCAGTGCTTATAGTGGACGTAATGCTACATCACTCCTTCTGGCAGTAAAGCGTAAGAACTTTTACTTACAATCTGTTGATTCTGTTGTTCTTCACGTAATTTAATTGTAAATAAAACTTGTATATATTATGTTTTATTTGTCGTCTATTGAAGCTTTACCCTGTTGATTTGGTCCAAAGCAGTATCCTTTTGTCGGTACAGCCCTCGTATTTTCTAAACTCTGAGTGCTTCATAAAATCATAGAAATGACTCCGTGGTATTTTGATAGCAATTGGAAATGCTTATATACTTGAAAATATTATTCATGTAAAATCCATTAATTTATCAGTTATTTTTTATTACACATACTTCATATGTCAACATTGAAGAAAAGATGTGGTCAATAGCAAGGACTATCCACAAATCGGCATTTACAAGACGCATTCATTAGGAGTGGCTGCAAACACATGGATTGTGATGCCAAAATAGACCAAACAAATAAAAAATATGTTCATTGACCCAGCAAGTCTGGCACTTTTGAAAAACGTTACTTTGACAAATAACACTGTTGCGGAAAGCATTACCGCTTCATCGGAACCTGTAACGGAGGTAACAATGGTTGGAACAAATATGCCTTCCAATCACATCATTGCCAGAATTGGAAGGAAGAAAGATGGGGGGTGGTCACTCGTCTTAATGCACTAAATTGGCTAAATCCCTATAGTTTTCCCATCTCAGAAGAAAAGCATAATGAAGAAATTAAAGGGGAAATAAAAAGACTTGTTTATAAAAAGACCCTTTACTATCTCATCTTTACCTTCCATTCCCAGCAAACGGGTGCTATCAGCATTTTACAAAGAGAGAGGTTCATGACCTGTCATTGACATGCGTCATATAAGACGTGAAAGATATAGTTTATTTATAGTATATGTGTGAGAGAATAACGAGAAAAAAAGAAAAAAGGGAAAATTAAAGTTCATAACCTACAAGAATATAACCAGGTTCTTGACCATGAACGGAAGGACTAACCATTTCGAATCCCAAGTACATGAAAGCACGAAGAACTGTACTTAGCGATTCTTTATACAGACGACGATCGATAGCTACGATCAAAGCGGTGCAACCTGTCTTCTCCTCAGCGAGTTCAATCAAATGGGTAATGCTATGAATATAAAGTTAGTATTTAGTCCAATTTGAGAAAAGTATACATGTACCATGATTGAAATTCACCATCCGCCCAGTTCAATATGCCTGCATTTGTACCTACAAATGGAGAACTAAGAAAGACAGTTTCATTATGAATAAAAGCTTCGCAAGTGAGGGTTTTGATTGATTTATTCACAGTAGATCCTGAAAGAGAAGTAGTAATGGATAAAATGTCATTTACTTGAGTATCAAATAAACTGGCTTGACCAAATACTTGAGTAATCATATCATTCTGACCTATATTTTTAGAAAGTTAGAATTACTCATTGATGATTTTTCTTTTTCTTTTTTTACCTCTCGTACGGGGATGAACGGTGACATGATCAACAGTAGCAGCAGCAGCAGTAGTAGCATTAGTAATGACTTCTTCCTTATCTTGGAAGCTTGAGACTGTTGAATTTGATGCTACTGATGATGATGATGATAAAGAGGAGGAGGAAGAGGAGGAAGAGGATGTTGATAAAGGTTGTAAAGGAATAGAAATTTCCTTTTTAGCTGGACTGGCGATAATCATGGACTTGTTTCACTACTATTACTATTACTACTACTACTACTACTACTACTACTACTGTTTATATTCCTTTTCTTGGAGGCCTTGGAAAAGATGGTGCTTGAAGCGTAAAGAAAGAGAACGGTGTTTTTATCCAGTGCTGTTACTCTTTTTCCTTGTAGGCGTTTTTTCTATATTGAATTTTTTTATTTTTAGTAATTTTTTAAATCATTTTGTTATTTAATGTATTACCACTTAAAACGCCTTTAAAACAGAAATGAAAAAGGGGGTTGGTCTTGTTTTGTTTAAAAAAGAAGTAAAAAGGTAAGAGGTATTTAATAAAGAAGCTTGTGAAGAGTGTTTAAAAATGGGCTGTTCTTTTTATATAAAAGAGGAACTAATTCTTTTCCGTGGTAAATAAAAGAAAAAGAGAGAAAAAGAAAAGAAAGAGAAAAACATTTTAAAAATGAAATCGGAGATTGAATTGTAAAGGAGATAAACAAGCCTGCGAGCCCTGTCAAAGCAAGATTGTCTTTTTCATATATTTTATTTGTACAAAGGATGAAGCAATATACATTCAATCATAGGGTTTATTTAAACTTAGAAACCAGGGGGTCTAATTGTTTGTTGTTGTTGTTGCTGTTGTTGTTGTTGAGGCATACCATATGCATTACCAGAGCCAAGCATCTGAATAAAATAAATATATCAGCGTGTGTTTAATGCAATTAAATACTCTTTACCTGTTGTGTTCCTTGTTGTTGCATTGCTTCCTTTTCATAAGCAATCAAGGCTTGTTCTTTTTCGATTTCCAAAGCCAAGGGTAAAACCAACAAGAACATAGAAGTCGTGATAACCCAAGCACTCTTTCCAACAAATGTAGCGCCTGTCTTTCCCCAGGATGTTAAAGTAGAAACGCTTGAAGAAATTCTGTTTCTGTGTTTAAGAGGGATAATATCCTTTAAAGCAGCAATTCTGTCTAAAAGGGATTCATCTTCATCGTCAAATTCGTCGTCAGAAAAGTCAGAGTAATCTTCTTCGCTTAAAACTTCGACTTGTTCATATTGATCAGCAGAAACTTCTTCTAATTTAACCATGTTTGCTTGTTAAAAAAAGTGAGAAAAGAAAAGAAAAAGAGAAAAAGACAAAAAATTTTTTTTAGTGTATGTGTGTCTGGAGGGTCCTTGTTCTCAGCTATATTTTATTTTCGTGTGTTTCATTTTATCTTTATTTTTTTTAAAAAAAAAACTCGTAGGATTTATGAATAATAATAGTATAACAAAGTATTGATAGTATTGACGTAAACGAACACATGGGGCTTAACGAGGTGTATTCTGGCGAGTGAATCCGTGTTACAATTGATTTGAGCCTTTCACTTTTTTCTTTCCGCGGGATGAGTAAAATATATAAAACCACACACACACACACATACACACACTTTTTTCCCTTTCTTTTTTTTTTTATTTTTCATTTTTAAACAAAATGAGACTTATTATCAGAAATGATTATGATGCTGTATCCGAGTGGGTTGGTAAGTTTATTGACTTTTTTTATTGTATGTAAAGCTCATCATCCTATTAGCTCACTATATCAAAGAACGTATCAATCAATTTGGACCTACTAAATCAAGACCATTCGTATTGGGTTTACCTACAGGATCATCACCACTGAGTACATATAAACGCCTAGTCGAATTCTATAAAGAAGGAAAACTCTCTTTCAAACACGTTGTTACCTTTAATATGGACGAATACGTGGGTATACCACGGTAAGTCGTATTATCATTTTGAATTTCACACCATCTAATATATGGGATGATATTCTTTAGTTCACATAAACAGTCTTATTATTCATTCATGTGGACAAACCTATTTCAACATATCGATATTCCACTAGAGAACATCAACTTTTTAAACGGTAATGCTCCTGATTTAGAAGCCGAATGCGCAAGATATGAAGCAGAGATAGCAAAGTATGGTGGCATTGAATTATTCATTGGTGGCATTGGTCCTGATGGCCACATTGCGTTTAACGAACCCGGTTCTTCATTAACCTCTCGGACCCGTGTCAAGACGTTGGCTTATGAAACCATTATTGCCAATGCAAGGTTTTTTGAAGGCGATATTACAAAAGTGCCAAAACTAGCATTAACTGTGGGTGTAGCGTAAGTTTATGTCTGGTAGCTATTGCTTGTTACTTATACTCTTCTCTCTCCTAGCACTGTCATGGATGCTCGTGAAGTCTGTATCATCATCACTGGTGCACACAGAAGGTGATAATAATGCATAAAAAAAAGGCAATATAGTGTAACTGAAACATGGTTCCATATAGTATTGCACTGGCAAAATGCGTAGAGGAAGGTATCAACCATATGTGGACAGTATCAGCCATACAAATGCACCCAAAGGGTCTTATTGTGTGTGATGAAGATGCTACATTAGAATTACATGTCAAGGTGTGTACATACATTATATCTATATAAACTGATCCTTACACCCATCGTATAGACCGTCAAATACTTCAAATCAATTGAACATGTTCATCAATCACTTATTGGACAAGAGAATTTAGGTTTACAGGGCGAGTTGCTGTCACCAAAGAAAATACAGCGTTCTGTTAGACTGACAAGAGAAATGATGGTAAGAAAGTTATTGAACGGTGAGCTCTCTCCCAATGATGAAGAAGAGGAAGATGAAGAATTAGAACTACCAAAAATCTATCCTTCAAGTTCAAAAAAGAGACGCATCGATAGCAGTAGTAGTAATAATATCAACAACAACAACAATTCCGTTGCTGGCAGCAGTAATAGCAGTACTAGTAGTAGAAGTAGCAGTAGTAGCAATAATAATAATAATAATAATAATAATAATAATAGCATGATCCAAGCTTCTGATTCATAAACCTATTTGTGCCATAGTCTATTATCCTTTCTCCTTAATTTGTATATTCTATATCCCCCTTTCTCTAATAAAGTCTACAGCATATACTAATGCCTTTCTTCTCCTCTTTTACTGCCTATAAACAATGTAATAATTATCTACTAATTAAGCAACATCTTTCATTTCTTTATAAGATCGTCAAGAATCATGGAGCTGCTACACGGATCTACAATTGAAAGGAGTAACAAGTTGGGAGTTGCCCAAGACAGACATGAGAAGCATGATTGGGGGCAGTTTAATAATAACAATACATTTATAGACAATGACACGCCTTGATGAACGTATTATAGGGAAGCATATTAGAAATGATATCATAAACAAAGGATTTTGCTTTTATCGCCGATTATCAAAAGTAACTAGCTTACACCATTTTAGGAATAAGGAATACTTTAATTGACTGTTCAAACAAACGCTTTCTTACCACCACTAATTCAGCGAGGTAATACAAGTATGGTACAGAGTTGCATAAATAGGTACACAAGATGTCTTTCAAGAAATCATCCTTTAAAAAAAAAGAAACAAAGAGAGAGGAGAACCGTGATTGCATATATGTTAGAATAAGAAGACAAAGGACACTTCTTATTTTTCATATAGCAAGTACTATTGAATCAAGTGTAGTAACACAACTGTAAGCCACATTTATACAGTATAAGCAAGCGTCATGAGCTTAATTACATTACGAAGAGTAGGCTATTATCCAAATGTAATAACCAGAACAATAACAACAGCTACCTTGGGTTTGTCTACTGCATTTATATAAAGAGACTGTTGCTTGTTTAAATATAACTTCTATTATTCATCCACTTTGTACTGAAAGGTTTAAGAATAAACATGAAGTATTAACCTGATTTTGGCGGACATTTATTATGTCAATTGGATATGCTCAACATAAGAGTGTGACAACATTTTGGTAAAATGTGTAGGTTATTTCCTACACGTATGCTTATTCTCATCACATATACTTTGGACACGAATTTCGATGTGCAGAGTGCTTGTTTCATTGGCATGTGAGAAAAGCGGTATACATGGATTCACAAAATACGTTTAATCTCAGATCCAATAATTTTACAACAAAGGGCCAGTCAACTCTGAAAACGCTGCACAATACATTGTGAGTCAGAACTGTTCAGAAAAAAAAAAAAAGCTTCATCCCGCAACGTTCAGCGTTTTTTTCCCTTTCTTTATTTACTCTGACAATGTCTTACTCTCGTACTATTATTACTGAAGGTACATCTTACACGTGCAGCCAATGCTGTTAATAACCAAAGATCCTATAGCCTTAAACGAACTTGATGATAAACGTATCAAGGGTATCAAACCTCTTATTCCTCCTCAAATCTTGATGGAAGATATTCCGCTTACACTCCAGGCAGCTCAAACTATCCTGGAAGGAAGAAGAAGTGCTGAAGCTGTCATTAAGGGTACAGACGATCGTCTCTTGGTCGTTGTAGGTCCTTGTTCTATTCACGACGTGAAGGCCGCAAAAGAATATGGTATAGTCGATCATGCTTGCATACTTTTCGTCTTTTTACTCATTTTTTAATCTGTGCAGCTGCTAAATTAATCGAATATGCAAAGGATGCAAAGGATGATCTCTTTATCATTATGCGTGTCTATTTTGAAAAACCAAGAACAACTGTAGGCTGGAAAGGTTTAATCAATGATCCCTTCATGAATAACAGGTAATTTCTATTCCAGATTACACAAGTGTCATTTGTTAACGTCTCTTTACAGTTATGAAATCAACAAAGGTCTTCGTATTGCTCGTCAATTACTGCTCGATCTTGTAAGGTTTACCTTTTCCTTAATGTATCTTTTAACTAATTTATTGTAGAACGAAATGGGCGTACCTACTGGCTGTGAATTCTTGGATACTGTAAGTTAAGCAGATCTCTAAACATGCTGATTTCTTAACCCTTTTTTTTCTTTTAGATCTCTCCTCAATACACCGGCGATCTGGTTTCTTGGGGCGCCATTGGCGCAAGAACAACCGAATCACAAATCCACCGTGAGCTGGCTTCGGGATTATCCTGTCCTGTAGGATTCAAAAATGGTAAACAGAAATCCGTTTGTTACACAACGTTCTTATCCTCTTTATTTTCAGGCACGGATGGCTCAAATGGTGTTGCTTACGACGCTATCCGAGCTGCAAGCAACGGTCACCACTTCTTGTCAGTAACCAAACAAGGTTTATCAGCAATTGTTCAAACAGAAGGCAACGATGCCTGTCATGTCATCCTTCGTGGTGGTAAGAGTGGAACCAATTATGATGCCGAGTCAATCAAGAAGACAGCACAAGAACTTCAGAAATTGAAACTCGCCCCTATCGTCATGGTGGATTGTAGTCATGGCAACTCAAACAAAGATCATAACCGTCAACCTGTAGTCGCACAGTCTATCGTAAGAAAGAATTGTATATTTATGTGTGAATGGCTCGTTAAAAAAATTTGCTTTAGGCTGATCAATTAGCACAACCTAGCGTGACAGGAGATAATATAGTGGGCGTCATGATTGAATCTAATTTGGTAGAAGGTAAAACCAATGAAAAAGTAGCACCAATGACCTTACTCATCCTCATCCTTTTAGGTCGTCAAGATATTCCTAGTGAAGGTCCTCACAGATTAAACTATGGTCAATCTATTACAGATGCATGCATCGGTTGGGAAGACACAGTGAGAACTCTGGATATCCTTCGTCAAGGTGTGCAAGCAAGACGTGCCGCAAGAGAACATTAAATTTTTGTTAATAAAAAAGCCACATCATTTTAGAGAGAAAATTTTTCATATGGCGGAGAATGATTCGTTAAGGGGAGCATAAAACAATTAAGCTTAAAGACAATTGTGCCTTTCTCTTTCTCTCTCTCTTTTTCATAAAAAATGTCTGTCGAATACGAAGGTGCCATTGGTATCGATTTGGGTACAACGTAAATATCGTTTCTTATATTGTAATTATGTGTTGCAAGGGATTCTAAACTGTATGCTTTAGTTATTCTTGTGTTGGTGTCTGGGAATCCGAACGTGTTGAAATCATTGCCAACGAGCAAGGTAACCGTACTACTCCCTCCTACGTCGCTTTCTCTGACAAAGAGCGTCTCGTTGGTGATGCTGCCAAGAACCAAGCTGCCATGAACCCCAAGAACACCGTTTTCGACGCCAAGCGTTTGATCGGTCGTCGTTTCGATGATGCCGATGTCAAGGCTGACATGAAGCACTGGCCCTTCACTGTTGTCGAACAAAACGAAAACCCCTTCGTTCAAGTTGAATTCGAAGGCGAAACCAAGACCTACTCTCCTCAAGGTAAGCTCATACTCTATCTGATTTCCCCTTCATGTATATTGACTTTGCTGTAGAAATTTCCTCCATGGTCTTGATCAAGATGAAGGAAATTGCCGAAGCTAAGCTCGGTAAGAAGGTCACCAAGGCCGTTGTCACTGTTCCTGCCTACTTCAATGACAGTAAGTTATTTTTTAATGGAGTTTTATTTTTTTTTTTGCGGGAACCAACCATATTTTTTCTTTTGTAAAAAGGTCAGCGTCAAGCCACTAAGGATGCCGGTACCATTGCTGGTCTCGATGTTCTCCGTATCATCAACGAACCTACTGCTGCTGGTAAGTTATAAATAACACAAGGATAACGAGATGCTCATACACCTTATAGCCATCGCTTACGGTTTGGATGCCAACGACAAGAAGGAACGCAACGTCCTCATCTACGATTTGGGTGGTGGAACCTTCGATGTCTCTCTCTTGACCATCTCTGGTGGTGTCTTTGCCGTCAAGGCCACCGCTGGTAACACTCACTTGGGTGGTGAAGATTTCGATAACGCTCTCGTCAACCACTTCGTTCAAGAAATCAAGCGCAAGCACAAGAAGGACATCTCCGGTGACGCCCGTGCCCTCCGTCGTCTCCGTTCTGCCTCCGAACGTGCTAAGCGTACCTTGTCTTCTTTGACCCAAACCACTGTCGAAGTTGACTCTCTCTTCGAAGGTGTTGACTTCCAATCCACCATCACTCGTGCCAAGTTTGAAGAAATCAACTCTACTGCTTTCGCCGGTACCGTTGAACCCGTTGAACGTGTCTTGAAGGATGCCAAGATTGACAAGAAGAATGTTGATGAAATCGTTCTCGTCGGCGGTTCTACCCGTATCCCCAAGATCCAATCTCTCCTCCAAGACCTCTTTGGCGGTAAGGAATTGAACAAGTCCATCAACCCTGATGAAGCTGTTGCCTACGGTGCTGCCGTTCAAGCCGCTGTTCTCACCAACCAAGCTGGTAACGAAAAGACTCAAGACCTCCTCTTGTTGGATGTTGTTCCTCTTTCTCTTGGTGTTGAAATGCAAGGTGGTATCATGGCTGTTGTCGTTCCTCGTAACTCTCCCATCCCTTGTCAAAAGTCTAAGGTCTTCACCACTGCTGCCGATAACCAAACCACTGTCACTTTCCCTGTCTACGAAGGCGAACGTTTGATGACCAAGGAAAACAACCTTCTCGGTGAATTCTCTCTCTCTGGTCTTATCCCTGCTCCTCGTGGTACTCCTGAGCTCCTCTGTACCTTCGATCTCGATGCCAACGGTATCTTGAAGGTCACTGCTCAAGACAAGACCACCGGTCGCAAGGCTGATGTCACCATCTCCAACTCCACTCGTCTCTCTGCTGCTGATATTGAACGTATGGTTCAAGATGCTGCCAAGAACGCTGATGCTGACAAGGAACGTGAAGCCGTTGTCCAAGCCAAGCAAGACCTCGAATCTTATGTCTACCAAGTCGAGAACAACATTGCTGATCCCAACGTCAACATGAAGCTCCGTCGTGCTGACCGTGAGGCTATTGAAACCGCTTTGGCCGAAGCCATGGAACTCATGGATATCTCTGCCGACGAAGCCAATGCTGATGACCTCAAGTCTGCTCAATCCAAGTTGAAGCGCGCTACCACTCGTGCTTTCGCTCACGTCTACTCTCAACGCCGTTAAATAACTTAGACAACATCTACATTCTCCAGCATTAGATATAAATGAACCTCTCTGTATTGGTTATTTTTGTAAAAAGTACTGATAAATAAAAAACTTAATCTACTGTTACATATGCAATTTTCAGAAATTATGTTCGCGTCCATTTTTTAATTACACACTTTATCTTTCTCTATTGTTTCCAACTTGACATCATCCTTTTTTTAAGAGATATACACTCTTTGCGGAAAGTAAATCCGCCTATGATCGAAAATAGATGCACTCAATGGTGAGAACAAATTCATGCTGTACGAAATGTAAACTTGTCGCCAAGAATATTTTCGTAGTATCAGCCTTGACATCCATGGATACACTGTATTTCCAAAAAATAATGAGACTGAATGTCGTGCTTTCCAAATTGAGATGTCGTATTGAAACCGTTGTAATGTTATCAGAGTAATAACAAATACAAAAAGAATATGGCTCACTATCCCATTTGATAGCAATATTAACAGGTGGGCTGTCTTGGAGTTGAAATTAACTTGATATTAGAAATAGCCCTCTTTAGTCTCTTTGTAAAAGTTTAGATCCTTTTTTCGGTTTTTCCATTATATCAAAAGAACATGGTCACGAAGCAGATTGCTCCTATTTGATATGATTTCTTTGTCCCAGATATCCGTTCCTAGAGCTTGTCCTTTTTTTGCTTCTTTACAGCAGTTATCAGATGTCCCTCTGAGTGTTCATGGTCCTTACTCTGACTCGCTTGTCCTGCCCTCTTTGCTCTCTGGCATGTACCTGGAGCTTTCTCCCAATTATCTCTTCTTGTGCTCTGGATTCTCTGTCTTCCGTTCCTTTTTTTTGTTTTTTTTTTTTGTTTTGTTTAAACAATCCTGGGTAGTTATCGCTACCTTCCCCAGAATGCACCTTGGTGGTAAGTAAAACTAATATTAGAATATATGCTCTAATATTAGCATACTTTTCTCTCTTTTTCTACGTATACTCATTATCTCTTTCTCTTTTGACATGATGTTATTTATTCAAACATATTTTTCTTCGTCGTCTTTTTACGTAAATAATTCTTTTATTGTACGACAATATTTTATGAAGATACAGTGAAGTTGTCAACACTAAAGGTTCATCATTCACTTATAAACTCTCTCTTTTCAATACAAGTAGTTAACATCAATAATTAATTTACTAATCATTCTTTGGCTTTTTGTTGTCTGAAATTTTATTTTATTATAATTTCTGAATAAAGTGTGTACAGATGATCTAACCAATGATTTCTTCAGTCTCTTCAATGACTTCTTCAACCCATTCCTCAATAACTTCAGTTCTGTCTTCATCAGCCAATTTGACTTGCTTACCGAGCGCATTACGTTCTTCATCGAGTGTGCGCTCGACATTCTTTCTCCATGCGTACCATTCTTCAAATGCCTTTTTACGTTCAGCACGAAGCTTAGCAGCAGTAGCATCACCCATGGCAAGATCTTCTTCATCAAACTGCTTAGAGTATTGACGAAGATTCTTCTTGATTTTCTTCTTTTGTTCTTCAGACAACAAGCTTTCAGGACGAGGTCTCCAGAGCAACTGCTTAAAGTTTTCAATGTTTTGCTTGAACAATTGTTGTCCCTTGAAATCCCAGATACAGAAACCGTGATCGGCAGAGTTGCGCCACATGCTAGATCCAGTAACAACGTAGCGACCGGTAGGATCCCACTCAACGTCACTGACACCATAGTGTTCCTGAGTAGACAGTAACTGCACAGAAGCACCAGGGTTCTTCTTGTCCTTCTTGTCGGTCGTAAGGGGCTCAAAGTCAAGATCGTAGAACTCGAGATCGGCATTGCTTACGGAACGCAGAGTGGCCAGGACGATATTGTGACCCTTGGGTGACCAGAAGAGGTAGTTGGCCGTCTTCTTTTCGAGTGTTTTCATCAATCTGAAGCCAGAAGCGCTCTTCTTGGACTTGTCGAGATAGAAGAACTTGACGTCGGTCTTGATCGTGGCGGGTGCTTGGCCGTGAGCAGGTGTAGCGCCAAAGTTAGGATCACTGGTGGTGATGACAGCGAAACGATCACCATAGGGCTCCCAGGCAAATGCGATCATTGGGTCCTTGAGGTCGATCGTTTCCACAGGAACACCCTTTTGATTGACATCAAAGATTTCAATGTTTGCAAAAGTAGACTTCTTGGTCTTTGTATGACGGTCTGCCTTGACAGCCAAGTAATGACCTTGATTCTGCCAATAGAGTTTACATTCTGAGACATTGAACAAAGTCTTGGTAGCTATGGTTTCCTTGGAGGGAATGCCCATCAGGTTGACACGGGCAGGCTGGTTACCGGATTCAGGGATCCAGAAGGCCAACACTTCTTCCTTTTGGTAGATCTTGAGGTCTGAGGCATCGCCCTTGGCAGGTGACCATTCGAAATCAACAATACCAGGTACCTTGATACTCTTCTTTCCGACCAAGCCCATGGAAGGCGCTTCATAGACAGATAATTGTTGACCAGGAACGACACGAGCAAAGTATTTTTCAGAAGCAGACCACTTAAACATCGGCCAGCGAACGGTCTTTTGCTCTTCGGAGGTTTGAACAAGAGGGAAGGTACGTAACAAGTTACCCGTCTTGACATCCCAGATGATGATTTGGTTGCCTTCATCGTATTCACTGAAGGGATGTTGATTCTCGGGTAATTTAGCTAAGCTGATAGGTTCGTTGGACCAAGTGACAAGGTAGCGCTCATTAGGAGAGAAATCGATCAACTTGACACCAGGATGGACGAAACGAACAATCTTGTTCCAGGAAGGACCACCCCAGAGGGCAATGCCTTGAGTGTGGAAAGTGGCAAGGTAAGAACCCTTAGGTGACCATTGAACATATGTTTCTGTCCAGTTCTACTCATCACGTTAATCATCTATTTATAAGCAAATATAGTAACTTACAGCTCTAGTGTAGACATGTTCTGGTGGATCGCTCTTTCTGTTCCAAAATACAGATACATCATCGCCTTTATACATGACAAATTGGTCGCGAGCCAATGGGTCCATCAAGTAACTCTTCAAGTGCTCTTTAGGAGTGAAAGGTTCGATTTCAGGTTCAATATATTCTTCATTCATGTCGCTATACTTTTCAACATCGGTGAACTTGTTGACACTAAGAGTAATAGTCCTTGTCATTTTATAGCCATCCAACTTTTTTACTGCAGCATGAGCAGATTCTGCTGAAACAAAGTCAATAAAGAGATAACTATGAATAGGAGGGTAAGACTTTTTGTTGTTACTTTGGTTTTGTTTTCTTTACCCTGAGCTAGTCTTTTCTCCTTCATCATTAGGTGTCATGGGCATCCAAACGCCATTTTCTTTGATTTCACCTGCTTCTTTTGTAAAGAGCTTACTAATGACACTGATGAATTTTGCCTCTTTTGCTTCATTAACAATGGGAGCACCATCGACGACGACAATAGTGTCAAAGTCGGTTTCCATGGGAACATGATGCTTTTCATAAATATCATCAAAGTTGATGTCTTCTTCTCTTTCTGGAAGATTGTTCAAGTCGAAACCGGGCATTGTATCTATATATAAAGAGAAGAAACTAGGAAAAGGAAAAAAATCTGATTTTTGAAGGACGCAAGCCACAGAAAATTAAGCTTTTCGAAATTTAAATATCTTGTATAGTCAATATGCAGCGTATATATGTCTAGTGTTCATGAAAGATAAGCACAAGAAAGGACGATAGATGTCATCAGAAAAAGGGTCAATATAGAGGAATAAGTCTTCCA